ATATTAAATGTGTTATTGTTATGGCTTTCGTTTTCATTTTTTATACACAGAAATAAAAAAATATTAATGATTGATAGTCTTGCATTGATCAAAACCTTGACACTAAAAAATTGATATTACTGCCTCAATGCATTCAATGCACATCACATCCCAATGACTAATGTTCAAATTATATTCAAAAGGCTACAAATTAACCATCATTTTACTACTTACTTAATAATAGAAAGACATGAATTATTTCTGCAGTTTTTTGGCTGGAGTAGTAAATTTTAAAGCAACTTAGCATTGATTTAGCAGTCATTTTAAATAAAGTAGTACCACCTAAGCTGCCAGAATGTACATGAAAATCACCTCTAATAGTGAAAAAGAACTTTATTGAGTTAATGCATTAAATTATAATTTTTTTAAGAAGAGCAACAAAATGATTTACAAGCAGACTGCATTGTAAAACATAATAAAGAAAACTTAACTTACTGCTTGACAAAGAGTCTCAATTGGCAATTTAGAGCTTCCACAGGAATTAGTAACAAATGATGCAGACATTCCATCATAAAAGGACTAACTTGATTATAAAGAGTACTTTCATTCCTGCATGTAGAAAAACTACCAATATCATCACGCAGCATTTCACACAGTCAGACCCACCCAAACATCCCTTCATACAAAGGGTTGGATCTTGTTTTAAATGCGAGGATATTAAAATTGTTATAACCAAACAGTTTTCTGTAAAGCTTAACTGCATTGTAAAGATAAAGCTTTTTTATAAAGTTAATTAAGTATGTTCAAATTGACTGACCCTTCATTCCATGCAAAACGTACCAATATAAATTAGCCACATTGAAAAAGAATATAAAATCCTTTGGAAAAAGAGAATTGAAATAGACAGGATGACAAACAAATGAAATGAGTTGATTTAGATTAATTCGTGTAAATTCAACATGTTGCTAAAAGAGCAATAAGTAAAATTATTGAAATAAAACAACAATTTAAACATAAAAACAGAATACAATAATAAAAACAAACAAAATAAATTAAATGAAAATGAAGAGGGCTATAAAGGTGACAAAATGGTATAAAATTTATATTATCTAACAAATATCATAATGAATTACTTATGCTTAAAAATTTAAGAGAAGCTAAAGATCCTATTGGGTGCTAACTTGTGTAAGTGATTATTGCATTTGGTATCCACCCACACTCATGATTGGCAGATTGGGACAGCAAGATGGCTACGAGAAACACAAACAAGAGGCCATCATGGCTTAAAGAGCTAGCCTGGGTGGCAGTAAATGCCAGTAATAGTAAATAATAAAGGCCAGAATGTCTCCTAATGAAAAGCCTCCCTGCACTAGAAGTGAATCATCTACAAAGGCTGCTTTTAGCCTCCTATTTATTGGTTTTGCCAAATTTCGAAATTTTTTTCATTAAAGAATGCAGAGAACACAGAAGATTATGAATTGTGTCTTGGTCTATACTTAAATAAACAATAATCAATGCATGGTCAACCATGCTCATAGGTTGTACATGTGTCATGATGTGTGCAATATAAAACACTTTGAAGCAATTTTCATAACATACTTCCACAAATAAGTAACAAATGGCTTCCAAAATGTGTACAAGGAGTACTTCATCTGCTGGACAGATTCCAGGGATATTTGGAGACAATGAGACAACAATACCATTCTGAATAACATATTGCAGAGCCTTGAATAAAGTATAGTAACTGCTGGGGAGCTGAGGCAATAGGGCTAAATGGAAGTAACAAAATATTTTAGAGTATACTTTTGTCCATGCATTTTAATTGTCTCTAATGCTAATCTTGGTTTATAGGTCATTCCAATTTAATTCATAGATTCACAGGGGGACTAATTCAGACAAGCGGCTTTATTAATATTTATTTATTAACTACTAAAAAGAGGAAAAAAGGGAGAATCGAATTTACAAATCTAATCTAATCTACGTAATTAAGAGCCTATATGTAGGTTACATAGTCTCTGTACCAGTATGTTTGAAATAGCGTTAGTCTCAGATAGTATAGGATAGCGGCTAGTCTTGGCATGCCTTATGCAGCTTACCTCGAGACTTGCCTCGGATGAAACCTGGAAAAAAACCTGTTACGGAGGCCTCAAGATATTTTGTATTATGAGCTAATGACAGAACTTTATTCTGGAATTTTCCTGGAATAATAGAAATTAGAAATGAGAGATCATGTGGCTGCAATGAATTTGATGCTAGTGGTTCATAACTGTCCCCGGAAACAATGAAGAGAGCTTCAAGATGAGCATCATCCTTGTATTTATTATATATCCCGTCAATACTTTCTCCTTCTGTCTTGTAAAGCAGCATATATGAAGTAGAAGGTGGAGGAGTGCCACTAGTATCCATTGTTACAAGGGGGCACCATGGCAAGATACAATCATTCCTCGGCCAGCAAAACTTACTGCCAACTAGTAGATCTACTTCTTTAGCTAAAGCTTGAGCACGAATCTTTATTTCTAAACCTATCAATTAATGACAGTGATGAGAAGAGAGCTCCAAAAAAAGACTGACCATCATCAGGTAGATCTAGGGCTTCCATTATGACTACCCAAGTGACTACCGGTAAAAAGGTCTAGAGCCAGATCTGCTCTGGTGATCTACTAGATTTAGATCTACGGAACAAATTCTAGATTACGGGAATCAAACCAACGTGTGCGGAAAGTTATAAAAATCATTTTTGATTGAGATCAAGAGTACTAAGATCTACATAATGATTGTATAAACGATTACAAAGCAATACAAACAAGAGTACAAACATGCAAGACACTTATGTCATAATACCATTCTGTCCTAAACTATCATTAGTAGATCTAACAACAAAAATAACTACCAAGTGATGCAATCATGATTCATGAAATAATATAGCAGGGATATAATAGACTAACGTATAGTCTATTATATCCCTGGTAGTAAACACAATGCATTTTGCATTGCTGTGTAAATGCAGCCTCAAATTCACTTTGATCAGTCACTACTGGTATAAACTCTACTTAAAACTAAGCCGGAAGTAGTACATGAAACATCATTTTAAAACCAACCTGAAATGATTAGAACTGAGTTTGACCAGTCACTCTTGTTATATTCTACACTATGAAACTAAGAAAGGTAGAAACAAATACTGAGAACCTGGTAATAGCAGCAGTTTTTTCTCACATGCCAGCTCCAGGGTTCATTATTAAGCATCATGGATGCACTGAAATGAGTCCGTATCACATGAACCAAAACAAACTGGGTGCCATGTGGAAATGATTGGACATCAATATCATGACCAAAATTCAAAACAAACACTATGCCCTCTTATTGATGAATAATCAGTAATAGGCCTACAATATTCAATAACTTTAATCATAATAATGTGTGTGACAGTGTTTATAGGCCTATCTAATATCCCTCAGCATCATGTTGTCAGGTTTAATGTCAGCGTGAATGATACTACAGGAATGGAGTGCCTCGACCAGTTGGCATATCTCTATTGTATAATAAAGCATCGCTACCTCTGTTAGCTTTGTTGTTCAACATGTATTAACTAAATCTTACATGTGCGTGTATAATAGAATGAGAATGATAAAAGTTAATAGAAATGTGCATATATATACATTATGTAATTTGATCACAGCAATCTATAGCATATGGTTCCCAAGCACCTAGATTCTATCAATGTCTCGCTAGCCAGACCATTCTCCCAGCCTACAGTCATTGGAGTGGACAGTAGGCTGGGTAATGGTCTGGCTAGCGAGACTAGATTCTACATGTAAAATTTCATCATAATTATTTTATGATATAATTTTAATGCTGTGCTTAAGCCACCTATAAAAAGTTTGAACTGATTCCAAGAAGAAATTTTCAAGTTATTGCCATTAAGAAATAAGGTCAAATTCGGAAAAATTTTCTGTTTCAGCACATGCTTTTTTTCTGAAAAATGGCTTCAAAATTACCCCGTTTTTATGATAATTTTGATGCATCTTGATGGCCTTATGTTATGCAGAAAGTTTGAGCTCAGTGATTTTGATAAATTTGTAAGTTATGACTATTCAAAGAAATAGTACTGGTAGATTGGTGAAAAATCTATTTTGCTAAAAACTTTCTCCATACACATAATTAGATTCATATATACTTTCACTAGATTAATTGTATACATGTATGTACACACCAATGACCGTTACCATAATTACATCAATATTATTATCATCATCATCATCAATATACCAGCCATCAATTATTGATAAAATCTTGAACTATGCTTCCATCAAAATTATTGTTTTGACTACAATGTTTTCTATTCATACCTTTAGATCTAGGTTTGACAACTCTAATTCTTTTATGCTTGTTACCACAGTATATTAGGTCTGCTAGATCCTATTAATCTACAAGAAATCACTTCTGTCTTCTTTTCTTCTGTCTCAATCATCAGTTTCTTTGCCTCAAAGGGAAGCCAAAAGGATGGGGGCATAAATAGATGACCTTGTACAGTACAATCATGCTTGAGAAAAAGCCATTTTTATATAGGTGTCAAAAAGCCCTGCCCTGACCACTCCTGATAGATATGGTATGGTAGAACAAATTCAAAAATGATTTTCAGGATTATAGAAAGGTAAAATTATGAACATACATCACAACTATCTAGATCTAATATGTAATTACACTAAACATAAATATTCATCTAGATCTATAGTACTTTCAATATTTCTTGCATTGATGGTCTCTTGTCAGGATCTTCTTCAATACAAGACACTATTACATCAAGTAACGATTGAGGTGAGCTTGCTTTGACTTGCTCTAAAAGATCAGGAAATGTTTCGATACTTGGAAAATTGCATGCCAGAACTTCACAGAATAGGACACCATAACTGAAAGAGTCCATTTTAGTAGTTTGTTTTTTTTATACTGTAGCTATGGTTTGGTGTGCTTCAGGTGCACTATATACAACTGCTCCTGGAGCCTTTGTGACTGCATTTTGTACTAAATTGGCTGATCCAAAGTCAGATACCTTTGTCTTCCACTTCCCTGGGCCCTTTGACTCAAGGAGTACATTAGCACTGCTGACATCACGATGAATAATAGGATCAGGTAGACAGTGTAAGTAGTTTAAACCAACAGCTACATCATGTAATATAGAGAGAATCACTGGTCTATAGGATGGGTCAGGAGTCAGCTCCTTGTTCTCGTAAGCTTTACGTAATGAGGTATCCATTACCTCAGTGATAATCATAGGATAGCCAGATGGGTCATCAAGCACAGCTCCTATAAACTGGAGGAGATTAGGATGACGTAGAAGTGACATTGTTGTAACCTCGCGATGAAGCAGTGCTAAATAGTGGGCGCTTTTGGTGAATTCATGTATTTGTTTAACAGCCACTTTCTGTCCTCTAAATTGGCCCACATATACTACTCCCCATCCTCCTTTACC